CTCCCACAGAGAGGGTCTCCTCAGGGTGCCGTCAGCCAGACAGTGCCGGCTGGCGACCCCCAGGGGGAGGGCCTTCTCTGTTGGAGCCCCCACCCTATGGAACGAACTACCCCCAGAGATCCGGGTGATTCCGGATCTCCCCTCCTTCCGCCGCGCCCTCAAGACATGGCTATTTAAGCTAGCAGGACTGGCCTAAGGGATATTTTAATTTGGTTTTAAAATAATTTTAAAAAGAAACGGCCAATAATTAATATTTCATTTTAATTACATTTTAAATTTAGTATTTTGTATTGTTATCTGTTTTAACTGGCTGTAAGCCACCCTGAGTCCGCTAGGAGAAGGGCGGGGTACAAATTTGATAAATAAATAAAATAAATAAATAAATAAATTGTAAATAGTTGTTTTTATTGTTTTAAATTTTTTAACAATAAACAGCTGATTTATATTTATCCCGGAGTTCGAAGATTGTGTAGTATTGAATAGATATGCCCGAGATTCGGCTTTTTACAGTTATTAAGGATATATATATATATATAAGAGGTTAGTGAAAAAATGACATGATAAAAGCTGATGTTAAGATTCTATCAAGAGATGGATCAAGCCAAAGACCTTTTGATCCAATATTCAACTCTCATTATGACCATTTCAGTAGTAGAAAATTTGGGGCCAAGACCTGAGTCCAAGAGTTTTCATTGAGGCTTGACATTTGCAAAGCAAATAGTTTCCCATATATTTCTGCCACAATATTTAAGATATACTGTAACAGTATTGGGGAAAAATCTGCATCCAGCAGAGAGCATATTGTTTAGAAAATTAATACATTTTAAGTTGCGGAATAAGCTTTAAGTGGTTCAAAGATGACCTGATACTATAGTTGCCATATTATAATGTCCTGATGCTACTTAAAACCCAAATAACGGGTTAATCTACTGGTGGAAACAGTAGATCCAATCTTTAGTTCAATTAGTTTAGATTTGCAAACAACATGTGGGATTTCTCTCTAACTATGCTTTTTGTTATTGTACCAGGGAGCTAGTGTGAATTTTAGGACAGCAGATTGTGTATCTCCTCTCCATGAAGCTTGCTTAGGAGGACATGCTGCATGTGTCAGTGTTTTATTAAAACATGGAGCCAACGTAAGTACTCAAAGATCTAGTTATAGTGCATGCAAGAAAATTAAATAATTTGCTAGATACTGCCTTGGTAGCTTAGGAATGTAATCTTTGCCAATGAGATCCTCGTACACTTTTTCAACAATGGTAACCCAATTAATATTGGGAAAAATAATCTGATTCATAATATTATTATTCCTAATAAACCCAAATCAGGATTAATGTGCTGGAAGTGCTTTTGCTATCTGTTTGCTGCTACTAGTTCACAGTTGAATTAATTTCTTTTGTGAAGAAAGGTCAACAAGGGGATTAAAATATCCTTGACAGAAATGTCCTCTCATTTTAGCTATGTTGGGACAAGGTAAGAAATGTACTTTCTGCCAATGCTCAGAAATTCTCATTTATACCCACACAAACACATTCTCCTACTCAGGGCTGACAATGTTTAAGAGCCCAGATCCTAGATTTATTTTGTACTAAAGTATATTTATGGAGGTTCTATGATAATAAAATGTCATTGCAAAACACTTTTCCTACATAATTTTATGTTTAAAACTTTTCAACATGTTTTACAAATAAAACATTACAGTACCAGTTTTTTTTCTCTTTAGGTAAATGCCACTACTATTGACTGGAACACACCCCTGTTCAACACTTGTGTCAGTGGTAGCGTTGACTGCTTGAACCTGCTACTGCAACATAGAGCCAGCCCACATCGAGTTTGTGACCTGGCATCCCCCATCCATGAAGCTGCTAAAAGAGGTAAATTTGTCAGCATATATACCTATATACCATGGTAACACAAGAGGGGTACAACTTTGTGAAACAATATATTCATTGTTTCATTCCACATGAATTCTATACAAATCCACAAATGATCTCTGTTAGTTGTATGAATATTGTATAATCAAATGTTAGCTATCTGTTGTTTGGATTATAAAACAAATGTCTAGGTGTGTTACAAATAATAATATCAGCCCCTCGTGTGATACAGAGTAGCCATTCCCAGCAACCTCAACCTCAAGAGCAATATTGAAGGACATAGAGCATTGCAGTTCATCTGGAAAGCTCATCATTTCCTCATCCTTCAGTCATAGCATTAGAATTTCCTCTTTGGTCAGATCATTTTGACATCAATTCCATTTTTATATCTTCACCTACTACAGGTTTGAAATGCTGAAAAACATCAAGCTAAAATCAATGCTCTGCCCTTAGCTGCTGCAAATTCCTTAGCAACAAAAATTCCTATATTTTCATTCTGCACAAAAGGGAAAAACAAATTCAATGGTAGTCTGGTGTTTTGCAGGCTGGCTCATCCAATGTTGAAGAAAAGGGGAAAAAGGAGAGTAAAATTCTTCACCCTGCTTGTTTATCTGAGCTACAAAAGAGTATTTGAAATTGCTTTGTAGGATTCTGTTCTTTATTGAATTCTAAAACTTTCTGCTGAGCTGGAAATAAATATCCCCTGCTTCCTAACACTGTTGACTTAGCACTGTTGACTCCAGAAGGGTCTGGATCTCTTTCAACTGGCACAGAACCCCTGTGTGGAAAGCCCCTGCTGCTCTTCCCCCCAAATATGAACATTAATATTGGTTATAATTTCTCTTATCTTTGGAAAGACTTTATTTAAATGTTATTATTGATATACAGGTAGTCCTCAACTTACTGAGAGTGAGTGAGAAATCTGTTGAGTGTTGCCCCATATTATGACTTTTCTTGCCACATTTGTTAAGTGAATCACTGCAGTTGTTGAATTAGTAATACAGTTGTTAAGTGAATCTGGTTTTCCCATTGACTGCTTGTCAGAAGGTCGCAAAAGATGATCACATGCAACCAGGACACTGCAACCATCAGAAATGTGAGTCACTTGTCAAGCATCAAAATGCAAATCATGTGACCATGAGGATGCTGCAACGGTCGTAAGTGTGAAAAATGGTCATGAGTCACTTTTTTCAGTGCTGTTGTAACTTTTAGAATGTTGACAAGGATTTCTGGCTCCACAGCCTAGCTGTCTAAGTGGGCTTGAACGTAGAGTTTGTCTTTGTAGCCACAGTAATATGCTCTGAGTCCAGAGCAAAGTATGTTGATATAAAAGCTGCCATCACAGTCTACTTTACAATTCTTCACCAATGAAGCTGGTCTCTGTTGCGGTCTTATCCCCCAGTGATACTTTCAAGATAATGATTGGGGACCTTCTGGCCAGCATTGCATTTCCTTTTCGGTATCACCTGTTGTTGGAAAAAACAATCCCCAGTCACTTTCCTGAAATTACAGGTGGGGCAGGTTCAGGGCTCAAACTGTCTTTTATATAATGTAGGTATTTTGCATTTATTTATAATGTTTTGTTCATCTCAGAAATTAAAGAGATTAGAGGGCAGGAGAGGGAAAGGTTCTAAGAAATGCATAAAGGGAATCTGACCATCACAAGAAGATTTCTGAGATGCCTTTTCTTCACCCAGTCCAAAGCAGCCCAGCAAGATGTGTCTTATTGCACAATCTGGAAATCAGGATAGTAATTCCATCTTCCTACTCCCTAATTGTTGAAGGTTTAAGCTTTGTAATAGGGAAATGTTAAAGGAAGAAGCTCATGCTTCTGATACTCCATCCTGAGGCCCTGTAATCCATAGACATTGCTCTTTCTTGGTTCTCAGCTGGGAAACCCTCATGCCTTGGCACTGGTAGGACTCAATTGGAGGGCAAAACTGTCACTTTGGTAAGATGAGACTGCTGCTCAACAAAGCCTGCATTGCTACTTTGATGGTGTTGGAGTTTTGTCTTGTGGTGATGGTGGTCACCATCTTTGGCCAATGGGGGAGCTACACATTGACTACAGTTTAGGGGCACTGGTTCAGCCACTTATGCATAGCCAGATGACATGGGCTGTGAAGGACCTGAGTATGAACCCATAACTATAATGGAAGAAGATTGGTCAGAGAAAGAAATTGGAAAAAATGGAAAAGTTTTGAAGTTTTAGTTATTTGTAAAAACCAGTGAGTCTTTCTTCACCTTTCACATGTAAGCAACTGGAGTCTGGTTTTTGGGTTTTAATTTAATTTTTAAATCTCTGTGATCCTTTGAAGGTCATACCAAATGTGTGGAAACTCTTCTATCCAATGGAGTCAGTATTGACCATAACATAAAGCATCTTGGAACTCCACTGTACATCGCTTGTGAGAATCAACAGTTGAAATGTGCGAAAAAGTTACTTGAGTCAGGTAATTCACTAAAAGGTATATAATATCAACAAATCATTTTGCATGCCTGAAAATATCTATGGGTAGAGGACAGACAATCATGGGAATAGCTCTGGGAGGCCAGTAGTATTTTTAGATTGTATTTTGATGGAGAGGGAAGGGTATGGTAACTAGGATAGTACAGCGCTACAACATTCCTGTGTCTCTCTTCGGTTTATCCACTAAGACACCTTCCCTCTTAATTTAATAAAATAAGCCATGCTTGAAGAGAAGAAGATGAGCCATATTGGATCAGACTAAAGCCTCAGTTAATCCAGCCTTCTTTCATAGCGGCCAACCACAGGTGCTTAGAGGAAGCTCAGGAGCAGGAAGAATGAAGCAAGAGGGAATGCATTCCTCTTACTCATGTTTCTCAGAATACTGCTCTTTGGTATTAGAAGTAATAGTCATGTTGACTAATATTTATTAGCCATCTTCATCTTTCATGAATGTTTATAACCTTTTAAAAGACCTTCCTATTAGTGACTAACATACCTTGCTTTGTTCCGCATATTGATTTGGGTAGAATTAGCTATTTTAAAGCCAGAGTGAACATTTCCACAATGAACTCATGGTGAAGCAGCAGGTTCCTATAGGGCAGGGGTAGGCAACCTTAGCTCTTTTATGACTCGTGGACTTCAACTCCCAGAATTCCTGAGCTGGCTCAGGAATTCTGGGAGTTGAAGTCCACGAGTCATAAAAGAGCCAAGGTTGCCTACCCCTGCTATAGGGTTATCAAGAAGCTTAACCGAATATAATTGCCAAAACACAGCGTGGCTTCTAGTTCTTTTGATTTCATCAGTTTGGCTTCGAACCCTGGCAAGATATTCCTGCACAGTAATGAATTTTCCTCTGTAGATATATTTACAAAAATCTATATGCCACCTACTCAGTAGATTGTATAAACACCCATATCTTCTCAGGGCCTTTCTTCAGCAATTGTGTCAGGGTTGAAGAATTTGGCTGGTTAGTTTTTTATTGCAACCTTTTCCTTAAAACCACAGCCTTGGGGAACACATGCATTGTAAACAGAAACCAATTTGAAATTATTTGAAAATGAATGAACTGTCACTGCTTCCTGCAAAAAAAATTGCATTGCTGTGTTGCATTAATGATACTGAGCATTCTTAATGTCCCATTTCAGATCAATACAATTGATACATTACTTTGTCAGTAAACCTCAGCAATTAAACAGTTTGAAGCTATTTCAAATTAAGAAATGATTATTTAGGAGACCTTATGTTCCTTTGGCAATCTATAAATTGACAATTATTCAGATGGATCTGAGATAGCAAAAGAAATAAGTAAGTTAAATTACTGTTTGTTTAATAGTTTTATCTCATTTGTTTTAGGAGCAAGTGCAAATAGTGGAAAAGGTCTGGATTCTCCTCTCCACATAGCTGCTCAAACTTCCAATATTGACATGGTCCATTTGCTTATTGACTTTGGAGCAAATACTAGGGTAATTAATGCAGAAGGAAAAAAGCCAATAGAGCTAGTTCCAGCCAACAGTGCACTAATGCAGATATTTCTGCAGAGAGAAGGTGCCCATTAACTTTTGTTTCTTTCAAACACAGAGTACAGTATGTAAAGATCCCGAGGCATGCTTTGAATGGACATATCTGTATCACATTGTTAACTCTTACCAATATGCCAGAATGTGCTCTTATCACATACAATATTGCTAATATTTCCACTAACTTGCAACTACTAATGCCATAATGGATGCAACCTTATAATAATTAAAGGGAATGCTCATGGAGATAGATCCAAGTACTTCCTGTGAGATGCAGATTTCAGACAAAAGGAAGAATGGATTTTTTCCAAACCTGAAGTTTCAGATATGATATTGTTACAATCATAATTCACATTTGTAGATTTTTATAAAGATATCGAGTTCAACAGAAAAGTGTAAAAAAGAAGGAAAACTTTGTAACTATGTGTATATATTACATATGTGTATGTATTACATATGAATATTTTGCTGAATATATCTCCAGTAGGAAACTGGTTCATAATACTTTTATTCTCAGTAAATATGTACCCATGCATGACTGTACACATTATTATATATGGCATTTTTCAAAACCAAGACCCAAAGTGACACAAGATTTGCAAAAGGTTTGTTCTGCTATAGTAAATTGTTTTGGCTGGTATTGTAACAGGATCGTTTAATTCCAAATTAAAACAATTATATGGTACCTTTTGCAATCTTTATGGCATTATATTGCTGTGAATGCTTTAAAGGTCACAAACATGAATCTCACCATCAACACAGATTTAGAAACTTATTTATCCATTTTAAACTGCTTTATGGGACTGATTAACTTTAATCTTCAACAGTTATTCTAGATTAGGATAAACTAAAAATAATTGAGTTTGGAATGTTCCACTTCTTATAGCCAGTTTAGAAGTACCGTATATACTCGAGTATAGGTCGACCCGAATATAAGCCGAGGGACCGATTTTCCCACAAAGAACTGGGAAAAATTGGTGACCCGCGTATAAGCCGAGGGGGCATTTTCCAGCACACACACGGTTGCGGGGAAGGCTGGAGGTACGCCTTTCTTGGCCAGCCCGGGTAAATTCGGCCATATTCTTCAATACGGGCCGGCCCCAGCAGTTCCGGCTGGTTGCCGGCAGTTGGCTGTTCCTCCCTGGCCGCCTCGGCCCCCCCGGCCCTGTCAGTGAGCGCCCGGCAGCGCGCAGCGTCGCCAGGCCTCCCCCCTTCGCGCGAGGCGTCTGGTGTTCCCCCTC